AGTGTGTAGGTGAGTGAGTAGGTGAGTGAGTAGGTGAGTGAGTAGGTGAGTGAGTGAGTAGGTGAGTGGGTAAGTGAGTAGGTTAGTGGATAGTGAGTGAGTAGGTGAGTGAGTAGGTGAGTGAGTGAGTAGGTGAGTGGGTAAATGAGTAGGTTAGTGGATAGTGAGTGAGTAGGTGAGTGAGTGAGTGAGTAGGTGAGTGAGTAGGTGAGTGAGTGAGTAGGTGAGTGAGTAGGTGAGTGAGTAGGTGAGTGAGTGAGTAGGTGAGTGGGTAAGTGAGTAGGTTAGTGGATAGTGAGTGAGTAGGTGAGTGAGTGAGTAGGTGAGTGAGTAAGTGAGTGAGTGAGTAGGTGAGTGAGTAGGTGAGTGAGTGAGTAGGTGAGTGAGTAGGTGAGTGAGTGAGTAGGTGAGTGAGTAGGTGAGTGAGTGGATCGTGAGTGAGTAGGTGATTGAGTAGGTGAGTGAGTAGGTGAGTGGATAGTGAGTAGGTGAGTGAGTGATTAGGTGAGTGAGTGAGTAGGTGGGTGAGTAGGTGAGTGAGTAGGTGAGTGAGTGAGTAGGTGAGTGAGTGAGTAGGAGTGGATAGTGAGTGAGTAGGTGAGTGAGTGGATAGTGAGTGAGTAGGTGAGTGAGTGAGTGAGTAGGAGTGGATAGTGAGTGAGTAGGTGAGTGAGTGGATAGTGAGTGAGTAGGTGAGTGAGTGAGTGAGTAGGAGTGGATAGTGAGTGAGTAGGTGAGTGAGTAGGTGAGTGAGCAGGTGAATGAGTGAGTAGGTGAGTGAGGGAGTGAGTAGGTGAGTGAGTGAGTAGGTGAGTGGATAGTGAGTGAGTAGGTGAGTGAGTGGGTAGGTGAGTGAGTGAGTAGGAGTGAGTAGGAGTGAATAGTGAGTGAGTAGGTGAGTGAGTGAGTAGGTGATGGAGTGAGTAGGTGAGTAGGTGAGTGGATAGTGAGTGAGTAGGTGAGTGAGTGAGTAGGTGAGTGAGTAGGTGAGTGGATAGTGAGTGAGTAGGTGAGTGAGTGAGTAGGAGTGGATAGTGAGTACGTAGGTGAGTGAGTGAGTAGGTGAGTGGATAGTGAGTGGATAGTCAGTGAGTAGGTGAGCGAGTGAGTGAGTAGGTGAGTGAGTAGGTGAGCGACAAGGTGAGTGGATAGTGAGTAGGTGAGTGAGCGGATAGTGAGTGGATAGTGAGTACGTAGGTGAGTGGATAGTGAGTGAGTAGGTGAGTGAGTGAGTAGGTGAGTGAGTGAGTAGGTGAGTGGATAGTGAGTGAGTAGGTGAGTGAGTGAGGAGGTGAGTGAGTAGGTGAGTGAGTGAGTGAGTAGGTGAGTGGATAGTGAGTGAGTAGGTGAGTGAGTAGTTGAGTGAGTAGGTGAGTTAGTGAGTAGGTAAGTGAGTAGGTGAGTGGATAGTGAGTGAGTAGGTGAGTGAGTGAGTAGGAGTGGATAGTGAGTACGTAGGTGAGTGGATTGTGAGTGAGTAGGTGAGTGAGGGAGTAGGTGAGTGAGTAGGTGAGTGAGTAGGTGAGTGAGTAGGTGAGTGAGTAGGTGAGTGGATAGTGAGTGAGTAGGTGAGTGAGTGAGTAGGTGAGTGAGTGAGTAGGTGAGTGAGTGAGAAGGTGAGTGAGTAGATGAGTGAGTGAGTAGGAGTGGATAGTGAGTACGTAGGTGAGTGGATAGTGAGTGAGTAGGTGAGTGAGTGAGTAGGTGAGTGAGTGAGTAGGTGAGTGAGTAGGTGAGTGGATAGTGAGTGAGTAGGTGAGTGAGTGAGTAGGTGAGTGGATAGTGAGTGAGTAGGAGTGGATCGTAAGTACGTAGGTGAGTGGATGGTGAGTGAGTAGGTGAGTGAGTGAGTAGGTGAGTGAGTAGGTGAGTGGACAGTTAGTGAGTAGGTGCGTGAGTTGGTGAGTGAGTGAGTAGGTGAGTGTGGAGGTGAGTGGATAGTGAGTGAGTAGGTGAGTGAGTGCGTAGGTGAGTGAGTGAGTAGGTGAGTGAGAGAGTAGGAGTGGATAGTGAGTACGTAGGTGAGTGGATAGTGAGTGAGTAGGTGAGTGAGTAGGTGAGTGAGTAGGTGAGTGAGTGAGTAGGTGAGTGAGTGAGTAGGTGTGTGGGTAGGTGAGTGGATAGTGAGTGAGTATGTGAGTGAGTATGTCAGTGAGTAGGTGAGTGAGTGAGTAGGTGAGTGAGTGCGTAGGTGAGTGAGTGAGTAGGAGTGAATAGTGAGTGATTAGGTGAGTGAGTAGGTGAGTGAGTAGGTGAGTGAGTGAGTAGTTGTGTGGGTAGGTGAGTGGATAGTGAGTGAGTATGTGAGTGAGTGAGTATGTGAGTGAGTAGGTGAATGAGTGAGTAGGTGAGTGAGTGAGTAGGTGAGTGAGTGAGTAGGAGTGGATAGTGAGTGAGTAGGTGAGTGAGTGAGTAGGAGTGGATAGTGAGTCAGTAGGTTAGTGAGTGAGTAGGTGAGTGTGTAAGTAGGAGTGGATAGTGAGTGAGTAGGTGAGTGAGTGAGTAGGTGAGTGAGTGAGTAGGTGTGTGGGTAGGTGAGTGGATAGTGAGTATGTGAGTGAGTAGGTGAGTGAGTGAGTAGGTGAGTGAGTAGGTGAGTGAGTGAGTAGGTGAGTGAGTGAGTAGAAGTGGATAGTGAGTGAGTAGGTGAGTGAGTGAGTAGGAGTGGATAGTGAGTGAGTAGGTGAGTGAGTAGGTGAGTGAGTGAGTGAGTAGGTGAATGAGTAGGAGTGGATAGTGAGTAGGTGAGTGAGTGAGTAGGTTAGTGAGTGAGTAGGTGAGTGAGTGAGTGAGTAGGAGTGGATAGTGAGTAGGTGAGTGAGTGAGTAAGTGAGTGAGTGAGTAGGTGAGTGAGTGAGTAGGAGTGGATAATGAGTGAGTAGGTGAGTGAGTGAGTAGGAGTGGATAGTGAATGAGTAGGTGAGTGAGTGAGTAGGTGAGTGAGTGAATAGATGAGTGAGTAGGTGAGTGCGTGAGTAGGAGTGGACAGTGAGTGAGTAGGTGAGTGAGTAGGTGAGTGAGTGAGTAGGAGTGGATAGTGAGTGAGTAGGTGAGTGAGTGAGTAGGTGAGTGAGTGAGTTGGAGTGGGCAGTGAGTGAGTAGGTGAGTGAGTAGGTGAGTGAGTGACTGAGTAGGTGAGTGAGTAGGTTAGTGAGTGAGTAGGTGAGTGAGTGAGTAGGTGAGTGAGTAGGTGAGTGAGTGAGTAGGAGTGGATAGTGAGTGAGTAGGTGAGTGAGTGAGTAGGTGAGTGAGTGAGTAGGAGTGGATAGTGAGTGAGTAGGTGAGTGAGTGAGTAGGTGAGTGAGTAGGTGTTTGAGTGAGTAGGTGAGTAAGTGAGTGAGTGAGTAGGTGAGTGAGTGAGTAGGAGTGGATAGTTATTGAGTAGGTGAGTGAGTGAGTAGGTGAGTGAGTGAGTAGGTGAGTGATTAGGTGAGTGAGTGAGTAGGTAAGTGAGTGAGTGAGTAGGAGTGGATAGTTATTGAGTAGGTGAGTGAGTGAGTAGGTGAGTGAGTGAGTAGGTGAGTGATTAGGTGAGTGAGTGAGTAGGTAAGTGAGTGAGTGAGTAGGAGTGGATAGTGAGTGAGTAGGTGAGTGAGTGAGTAGGTGTGGATAGTGAGTGAGTAGGTTAGTGAGTGAGTAGGTGAGTGAGTAGGTGAGTGAGTGAGTAGGAGTGGATAGTGAGTGAGTAGGTGAGTGAGTGAGTAGGTGAGTGAGTAGGTGAGTGAGTGAGTAGGAGTGGATAGTGAGTAAGTAGGTGAGTGAGTGAGTAGGTGAGTGAGTGAGTAGGAGTGGATAGTGAGTGAGTAGGTGAGTGAGTGAGTAGGTGAGTGAGTAGGTGAGTGAGTAGATGAGTAAGTGAGTGAGTGAGTAGGTGAGTGAGTGAGTAGGTGAGTAAGTGAGTGAGTGAGTAGGTGAGTGAGTGAGTAGGTGAGTGAGTGAGTAGGTGAGTAAGTGTGTGAGTGAGTAGGTGAGTGGATAGTGAGTAGGAGTGGCGGCTTGGTGAAGGCCTTCATCCAGCAGTTGATAGATCATGGCTGCTGATGATAATGAAACGAGGGGGGGTAGCGGAGGTGTGAGGAGGAGGAGGCGAGTCGAGAAGAGAGGTGAGACAGGAGAGAGAGGTGAGGGATGGTGAGGGATGGTGAGGGGTGAGGGTGGCGGAGAGAGCGAGCAGGAAGGTGAGGTGAGTGGAGCAAGAGAGGTGAGGAGTGGTGAGGAGGAGGTGAGGAGTAGTGAGAGAGAGGTGAGGAGTGGTGAGAGAGAGGTGAGGAGTGGGGAGAGAGAGGTGAGGAGTGGTGAGAGAGAGGTGAGGAGTGGGGAGGGAGAGGTGAGGAGGAGGTGAGGAGTGAGGAGGTGAGGAGTGGTGAGAGAGAGGTGAGGAGTGGTGAGGAGGAGGAGGTGAGGAGTGGGGAGGGAGAGGTGAGGAGTGGTGAGAGAGAGGTGAGGAGTGGTGAGGAGGAGGAGGTGAGGAGTGGTGAGAGAGAGGTGAGGAGTGGTGAGGAGGAGGTGAGGAGTGGTGAGAGAGGTGAGGAGTGGTGAGGAGGAGGTGAGGAGTGGTGAGAGAGGTGAGGAGTAAGGAGGTGAGGAGTGGGGAGGAGGAGGTGAGGAGTGGTGAGAGAGAGGTGAGGAGTAAGGAGGTGAGGAGTGGGGAGGAGGAGGTGAGGAGTGGTGAGAGAGAGGTGAGGAGTGGTGAGGAAGAGGTGAGGAGTGGTGAGGAGTGAGGAGGTGAGAGAGGGAGGGAGAGCGAGCTGGGGGTCTCAGCAGCAATGTATTATTGCGATGCTATTGTTGTTGTTGTTATTGTCAGGGGGAGGGGTGGGATCGTGGGTGGTGGTGGTGGTGGGGAGAGGGGGCGGGGGGGAGAGGGGCGGGGGGGAGAGGGGGCGGGGGGGGGAGAGGGGGCGGGGGGGAGAGGGGGCGGGGGGGGAGGGGGCGGGGGGGGAGGGGGCGGGGGGGGGAGGGGGAGGGGGCGGGGGGAGTGCGTGGGGCTCTCCTGGCTCCGTCTCCCGCACTCGGAGTCCACCGCCCGCGCGACACGCGGAGAGAGAAGCGCGTCCATGGGTCTCCTCATCCTCCTCCACCTCCTCCACCTCCTCCTCCACCACCACCTCGTCCTCCTCCTCCTCCTCCTCGCGCCGCTCACCATTAACGGGACTCCACGGCCAGGTGAGGTGGGGGGTAGGTGAGGTGGGGGGTAGGTGAGGTGAGGTGGGGGGTAGGTTAGGTGAGGTGGGGGGTAGGTGAGGTGAGGTGGGGGGCAGGTGAGGTGAGGTGAGGTGGGGGGGGGCAGGTGAGGTGAGGTGGGGGGAGGGGGTGAGGTGAGGTGGGGGGTAGGTGAGGTGAGGTGGGGGGTAGGTGAGGTGAGGTGGGGGGCAGGTGAGGTGAGGTGAGGTGGGGGGCAGGTGAGGTGAGGTGGGGGGCAGGTGAGGTGAGGTGAGGTGGGGGGGGGGGGCAGGTGAGGTGAGGTGGGGGGAGGGGGGGAGGTGAGGTGGGGGGAGGAGGTGAGGGTGGGGGGAGGGGGTGAGGTGAGGTGGGGGGAGGGGGTGAGGAGAGGTGGGGGGTAGGTGAGGTGAGGTGGGGGGTAGGTGAGGTGAGGTGGGGGGCAGGTGAGGTGAGGTGAGGTGGGGGGCAGGTGAGGTGAGGTGGGGGGCAGGTGAGGTGAGGTGAGGTGGGGGGGGGGCAGGTGAGGTGAGGTGGGGGGAGGGGGTGAGGTGAGGTGGGGGGACGAGGTGAGGTGGGGGGAGGGGGTGAGGTGAGGTGGGGGGGAGGGGGGTGAGGTGAGGTGGGGGGCAGGTGAGGTGAGGTGGGGGGGAGGTGAGGTGAGGTGGGGGGCAGGTGAGGTGAGGTGAGGTGGGGGGCAGGTGAGGTGAGGTGAGGTGGGGGGTAGATGAGGTGAGGTGGGGGGCAGGTGAGGTGAGGTGAGGTGGGGGGTAGATGAGGTGAGGTGAGGTGGGGGGCAGGTGAGGTGAGGTGAGGTGGGGGGTAGATGAGGTGAGGTGGGGGGCAGGTGAGGTGAGGTGAGGTGGGGGGTAGATGAGGTGAGGTGAGGTGGGGGGCAGGTGAGGTGAGACAAACGAGGCCGTGACTGGGGTGCCTGCTGATCACGCACGGTAGGCGGTGAGCTCGCTGGAGCCGTGACTATCTCCCGGTGCGGCAGCTGATGCAGCAGTCGATCGGGGGGGGCTAAGAGTCGCTTGCGGTGGGGCAAAGCGTGGGTCCGGGCCACGGGTCTCCCTCTGGCGGTGGAGTGAGCAGCCAGGCACTTGCAGGGCTGCGCCTGTGCCCGTTTGCATGACACCAGATTGTTGTGCGGTGATGGTGGTTGCTGATCGCTCCGATGATTGTGGTGATGGTAGGGGTGGTGGTAATGATCGTTGTGATGGTATTGGTGGTTGTTGGGGGTGATATTGTGTGATGATGGTAGTGGTGGTGCTGATAGGGCAGTTGTGGAGAGAGTGGAGAGTTTCCCATACCTGGGAAAGAGGTCTCACTCCGAATCAGTCGAGCGGCAATATCTTTTCATCGGTTGCATAACGCTGTGTGGAAGCTACCTGGTCTGTCGCTCCGCACTAAGCTTCAGGTCTTCTCGGCCACGGTCATTCCCTCCCTTCTTTACGCTTGCGAAACGTGGACCCCCCTAATGGAACATCTTCGCCGGTTTGAAACATTTAGGCTGGCCTGCCTACGATCCATCTTGGGTTTAACCAGGCTGGATTGTGTGAGGAGCTCACAAATATTTGAAAGATCTGGACAAAGTCCCATCGGTGAGCTCCTCCGGCAGGCAAGGCTGCGATGGCTGGGTCATGTAGCCCGCATGCCCAGCCACCGCATGCCGAAACAGCTTTTGTTCGGCCGGATCGAGGGGGCTAAACGGGCACGGCACGGGCTAGAGAAGAGATGGAGTGATGTGGTACAGGAGGACGTGGAGCTGAGTGGACTTGCCGATGACTGGTACCAGTGGTGTCAAGATCGGCCTCTTTGGAGGAGGCTCGTGAAGGACGCTACTGGGCAGTTGGAGGCAGTCGCCCTCCAACAACAACGGAGGGCGGAGGAGCGACGCTCACAACAACGAGCGGAGCGCCGGGTGGCTAAAGCACAGCAGGTTGGCACAGTAGGGGACACAGGTGGTGCATCAGCCAGTCATCTCAGTCAGTCGACCGGTGTCACCTGGGTCTGCCCCGTGACCTCCTGCCAGCGGGCGTTCGACACTTCACGTGACTGCCTCAACGTGCACCTAGCCTGGCACAAGCGTCGTGGTGACGTCACCGCCACTTTGTGTGTGTATGGTGTGTGTATGGTGTGTGTGTGGTGTGTGTGTGTGTGGTGTGTGAGGTTTGTGTGTGTGGTGTGTGTGGGGTGGGGAGCGGTGGTGTCGTGGGTTAGCGCTACGCTGCACGACGAATCCGGCGACCCGAGCCTCCATCTGAGGTGCTCCGGGGCAATGCCTCCCCCATGAGTTGGTGGCGATGGAGCCAACTTCTTCACGTTGGCCTTGAGGACGACACCCTCGAAGCGCTCCTCTTTGGCCTCCTCTTGATCGCACATCCCCGACCGAGCTGGGAGTGGAAGACTTCGCTGCTTCGGGAGTCTAGAGTCTGGCATACGGACGCCGTGGCCGGCCACGCGCGGCCGATGTCGAATGATCGTGGCCTCGGTGCTCGTGGTTTAGTGCGGCTGTCATCTTCCCATCCGATGTTAAGGATCTTCCGCAAGGCAGCGTTGATTGGACTTCTCTAGCGCTTTGAGATGTCTCTTGTAATGTTAGCCACGTCTCAGCTCCAGGCAGTCAGGTGGAGATTACGGCTGCTTGATAAACCACGATCTTGGTTTTTGGACCTCGTGTCACGTTCCTCAGCCTACCGAAAGCTCCACTTGCACATTCCAGGCGATATTGGATTTCTTTGTCGACGTCAGCATTCTGAGAAAGAAGGCTTCCTAGCTACGGGAAATGCTCAACATTTTCCCGAGGCTCACGGTGGATGTAGATAGTCGCAGCTGGGGACTGCACATTGAGAACTGGTCGATGGAAGACCTTCGTCTTTGAAATATTAAGCGTCAGTCCCGTTTCATCAAATGCCTCAGTAAAAGTTTTTTGTTGTTGTTGTTGTTACGATTGCCTGAACATCCACGTCTGAGTGGGCACACACTTCAGCATCCGTCAGCAGCATACAGGAGTTCAACAGCTGCTGTCCTGATGGTGTTAGCATTAGATCGGAGTCGGTTGATGTTGAACAGCTTGCCATTCATTCGCTGGTTTAGCTGCACTCCTGCTCGAAGTTTGCCAGTAGTTTTTGCCGTGGCATCGCGGCGAGGAATATTGGGAGAAGAGCGTTGGGGCGGTGGCTCAGCCTCGAGTCTTAACTTGAACGTGATCTGAGATGGGTCCGTGACGAAGAATGACCGCTCGCGCAGCCATCATGCAGCAGGCGAAGTATGGCGACGGAAGGACAGAATCAAGGGCGTTTGCGAGGTCAAAGAAGGCCGCGTAGAGAGTTTTGTGTCGTTCATGACATTTTTGCCTGCAGTATACGGACAGCGAAGATCGTGTCCAGTTGTGCCTCTCGGAGGCCTGAACCCACATTGGGATTCTGGGAGGAGTTCATCGGCAAGTGGCAGAAGACGGTGCAGGAGCGATGATGTTTCTGGCAGTGGAGAGCAAGGCAATCCCCCTGTAATTTCCACGATCGGATTGATTCCCTTTCTCATGGATTGCCACAATCATGGCATCCCTGAAGGTCGTCTGGGATTCTCCGTGTTTCCTAATCTTTGAGATGAGTGCTTGGAGCCATGCCACGAGCTCCTCTCCCCCTTGTTTGAAGATCTCGGCAGGGATTCCATCAGCTCCAGATGCCATTTATTGTTCTCCATCTGCTTGATGGATTTCCTCACTTCGTCAAAGGTCAGGGGTATTCCAAACTCATTTTCTGATCGGGCGGAAACCCCAGTCATCAGCGAACGGGTCAAGATTGAGAAGATCTTCGCAATGACCCTTCAAGCGAGTGTTTACAATGTCCCCTCTCCTCGTTCAGATCTCCTCCATTGTTAGGCCCCAGAGGGGTTGGACCCTGAGTGCCCGGGCCAAAGGCGGTTCTGGTGGCACTGAAAAAGCCGTGAATATTATGGATGTCAGCATCCGTAAAATGTGCAGCTTGGTGGTGATGATGGTAGCGGTGGTGGTGATGGTGGTGACGATGACCGTGGTACTGATGATGGTGGTGGGGGTTAGTGGTGATGATCATGATGATTATCGTGATGATGATGGTGGTGATGCTAGTGGTAGTTGGTGATGATGATGGTGGTGGTGGAGCTGCTGGTGCTGCTGATGATGATGGCGGTGGTTGTGTAGACGGTGCTGACTGTGACGTTGAACGCGTCGATGATGACGATGTATCCGCTGCTGTCGACGGTGGTGGCGGTGGTGGTGTAGACTCGGCGCTCACCGTGACGCTGAACGTGTCATCGTCATCATCACCGCTGCTGCGCGTGCGTGGCGAGCCGCTGGAAGTGACGTGCACGGTGACGAGCATCAACCCCATCGTGCTGCTCCACTGGAACTTCTCGGGGAACGCGGTGCGGTCCCTCATAGCCCCCCCCCACTCACACCCATAGCCCCCCCCCACTCACACCCATAGCCCCCCCCCACTCACATCCATAGCCCCCCCAACTCCCTCTTACCCCCCCCACTCACACCCATAGCCCCCCCTCCACTCACACCCATAGCCCCCCCCACTCACACCCATAGCCCCCCCCACTCACACCCATAGCCCCCCCCCACTCACACCCATAGCCCCCCCCCCAACTCACACCCATAGCCCCCCCCCACTCACACCCATAGCCCCCCCCACTCACACCCATAGCCCCCCCCACTCACACCCATAGCCCCCCCCACTGACACTCATAGCCCCCCCCACTCACACCCATAGCCCCCCCCAACTCCCTCTTACCCCCCCACTCACACCCATAGCCCCCCCCCCCACTCACACCCATAGCCCCCCCCAACTCCCTCCTACCCTCCCCACTCACACCCATAGCCCCCCCAAAATTCACTCTTACCCCCCTACTCACACCCATAGCCCCCCCCACTCTCTCCTACCCCCCCCCACTCACACCCATAGCCCCCCCCAACTCCCTCCTCCCCCCCCACTCACACCCATAGCCCCCCCAAAACTCACTCTTACACCCCCACTCACACCCATAGCCCCCCCCAACTCCCTCTTACCCCCCACTCACACCCATAGCCCCCCACTACCTTCTACCCCCCCACTCTCTCCTACCCCCCCCACTCCCTCTTACCCCCGCCCACTCCCTCCTACCACCACCCCCCCCACTCCCTCCTACCCCCCACTCCCTCCTACCCCCCACTCCCTCCTACCCCCCACTCCCTCCTACTCCCCCCACTTCCTCCTACCCCCACCCACTCCCTCCTACCCCCCACTCCCTTCTACCCCCCATTCCCGCCTACTCCCCCACTCCCTTCTACCCTCCACTCCCTCCTGCTGCTGCTGCTGATGATGATGCTGCTGCTGCTGATGATGCTGCTGCTGACACTTGTCCCCGTGCCCCCAGGAGCTGGTGCTCGGCCGCCAGGAGCGGCGCTACGACCACGTGGGCGTGCTGCACGTGACGCAGAGCGTGCACGTGGAGGCCGTGGGGCCGCGCCACGCGGGGCGCTACGCGTGCCGGGCCTCGAACCGAGCCGGAGGGGCCGACTCCAGCGCCGTCGAGTTGATCGTGCTGGGTGGGTAACGAGCGGCGCCCGGACACTAGCGCAAGGGCCCGGCCTAGTAGCTCGGAGGCCCCAGCCTAGTAGCTAACAGGCCCCGGCCTAGTAGCTCAGAGGCCCCGGCCCAGTAGCTCGCAGGCCCCGGCCCAGTAGCTCGCAGGCCCCGGCCCAGTAGCTCGCAGGCCCCGGCCCAGTAGCTCGGAGGCCCCGGCCTAGTAGCTAACAGGCCCCGGCCTAGTAGCTCGGAGGCCCCGGCCTAGTAGCTAACAGGCCCCGGCCTAGTAGCTCGGAGGCCCCGGCCTAGTAGCTCGCAGGCCCCGGCCTAGTAGCTCGCAGGCCCCGGCCTAGTAGCTCGGAGGCCCCGGCCTAGTAGCTCGCAGGCCCCGGCCTAGTAGCTCGGAGGCCCCGGCCTAGTAGCTCTGGAGACCACGGTGATGTTGATGATCACGTTGTCGGTTACCACGACGACAACGCCACGCTGACAATGTGCCCCACAGACCATGGGTTCGTGCGCATCTCCCCCGCATCGCGCGACGTTCGCGCGGACGAGGGCGACGCGGCGGAGCTGTCCGTGACCATCGACGCGTACCCCCCGCCGCGGCTTGCCACGTGGTCCGGGCCTCGTCATGCCGACGAGGCCGCGGGGGCGGCGCTGGTGGGGGGCATCGGCGGGCTGTGGGGTGCGGGCGAGGGCAGCGGCGGGGGCAGTGGCGGGGAGGCGGCGGAGGCCACGTGGAGCCCGGTGCTGGAGCACCTGGGGGACAACAGGTGAGGAGTAGGAGGCGCACAGCTGTCGACCCACAGGGTTCACCCCGTCTTCTTGTAGAGCAGGGGTGGGGAACCTTCTTTCTGCCAAGGGACATTTGGATATTTATATAACATTCGCGGGCCATACAAAATTATCAACTTAAAAATTAGCCCGTTATATTTGGTCAAACATTGAATTAACTCGCCCCTAATGCGATGGCTGGAACTGCTTCTCTTTGGCGAGGCGTGTGGTGATGTTAGCTGGTATTGATGATGTTAGCTGGTATTGATGATGTTAGCTGGTATTGATGATGTTAGCTGGTATTGATGATGTTAGCTGGTATTGATGATGTTAGCTGGTATTGATGATGTTAGCTGGTATTGATGATGTTAGCTGGTATTGACGATGTTAGCTGGTTTTGACGATGTTAGCTGGTATTGATGATGTTAGCTGGTATTGATGATGTTAGCTGGTATTGATGATGTTAGCTGGTATTGATGATGTTAGCTGGTATTGATGATGCTAGCTGGTATTGATGATGTTAGCTGGTATTGACGATGTTAGCTGGTATTGATGATGTTAGCTGGTATTGATGATGTTAGCTGGTATTGATGGTGTTAGCTGGTATTGATGATGTTAGCTGGTATTGATGATGTTAGCTGGTATTGACGATGTTAGCTGGTGTTGATGATGTTAGCTGGTATTGACGATGTTAGCTGGTATTGACGATGTTAGCTGGTATTGATGATGTTAGCTGGTATTGATGATGTTAGCTGTATTGATGATGTTAGCTGGTATTGATGATGTTAGCTGGTATTGATGATGTTAGCTGGTATTGATGATGTTAGCTGGTATTGACGATGTTAGCTGGTATTGATGATGTTAGCTGGTATTGACGATGTTAGCTGGTATTGATGATGTTAGCTGGTATTGACGATGTTAGCTGGTATTGATGATGTTAGCTGGTATTGATGATGTTAGCTGGTATTGATGATGTTAGCTGGTATTGATGATGTTAGCTGGTATTGATGATGTTAGCTGGTATTGACGATGTTAGCTGGTATTGATGATGTTAGCTGGTATTGACGATGTTAGCTGGTATTGATGATGTTAGCTGGTATTGATGATGTTAGCTGGTATTGATGATGTTAGCTGGTATTGATGATGTTAGCTGGTATTGATGATGTTAGCTGGTATTGATGATGTTAGCTGGTATTGACGATGTTAGCTGGTATTGACGATGTTAGCTGGTATTGACGATGTTAGCTGGTATTGATGATGTTAGCTGGTATTGATGATGTTAGCTGGTATTGACGATGTTAGCTGGTATTGATGATGTTAGCTGGTATTGATGATGTTAGCTGGTATTGACGATGTTAGCTGGTATTGATGATGTTAGCTGGTATTGACGATGTTAGCTGGTATTGATGATGTTAGCTGGTATTGATGATGTTAGCTGGTATTGATGATGATAGCTGGTATTGACGATGTTAGCTGGTATTGATGATGTTAGCTGGTTTTGATGATGTTAGCTGGTATTGATGATGTTAGCTGGTATTGATGATGTTAGCTGGTATTGACGATGTTAGCTGGTATTGATGATGTTAGCTGGTATTGATGATGTTAGCTGGTATTGATGATGTTAGCTGGTATTGACGATGTTAGCTGGTATTGATGATGTTAGCTGGTATTGATGATGTTAGCTGGTGTTGATGATGTTAGCTGGTATTGATGATGTTAGCTGGTATTGACGATGTTAGCTGGTATTGACGATGTTAGCTGGTATTGATGATGTTAGCTGGTATTGATGATGTTAGCTGGTATTGATGATGTTAGCTGGTAGTGATGATGTTAGCTGGTATTGATGATGTTAGCTGGTATTGATGATGTTAGCTGGTATTGACGATGTTAGCTGGTATTGATGATGTTAGCTGGTATTGATGATGTTAGCTGGTATTGATGATGTTAGCTGGTATTGATGATGTTAGCTGGTATTGACGATGTTAGCTGGTATTGATGATGTTAGCTGGTATTGACGATGTTAGCTGGTATTGATGATGTTAGCTGGTATTGATGATGTTAGCTGGTATTGACGATGTTAGCTGGTATTGACGATGTTAGCTGGTATTGACGATGTTAGCTGGTATTGATGATGTTAGCTGGTATTGATGATGTTAGCTGGTATTGATGATGTTAGCTGGTATTGATGATGTTAGCTGGTATTGACGATGTTAGCTGGTATTGATGATGTTAGCTGGTATTGATGATGTTAGCTGGTATTGATGATGTTAGCTGGTATTGACGATGTTAGCTGGTTTTGACGATGTTAGCTGGTATTGACGATGTTAGCTGGTGTTGATGATGTTAGCTGGTATTGATGATGTTAGCTGGTATTGACGATGTTAGCTGGTATTGATGATGTTAGCTGGTATTGATGATGTTAGCTGGTATTGATGATGTTAGCTGGTATTGATGATGTTAGCTGGTATTGATGATGTTAGCTGGTATTGATGATGTTAGCTGGTATTGATGATGTTAGCTGGTATTGATGATGTTAGCTGGTATTGACGATGTTAGCTGGTATTGATGATGTTAGCTGGTATTGATGATGTTAGCTGGTATTGATGATGTTAGCTGGTATTGATGATGTTAGCTGGTATTGACGATGTTAGCTGGTATTGATGATGTTAGCTGGTATTGACGATGTTAGCTGGTATTGATGATGTTAGCTGGTATTGATGATGTTAGCTGGTATTGACGATGTTAGCTGGTATTGACGATGTTAGCTGGTATTGACGATGTTAGCTGGTATTGATGATGTTAGCTGGTATTGATGATGTTAGCTGGTATTGATGATGTTAGCTGGTATTGATGATGTTAGCTGGTATTGATGATGTTAGCTGGTATTGACGATGTTAGCTGGTTTTGACGATGTTAGCTGGTATTGACGATGTTAGCTGGTGTTGATGATGTTAGCTGGTATTGATGATGTTAGCTGGTATTGACGATGTTAGCTGGTATTGATGATGTTAGCTGGTATTGATGATGTTAGCTGGTATTGATGATGTTAGCTGGTATTGATGATGTTAGCTGGTATTGATGATGTTAGCTGGTATTGATGATGTTAGCTGGTATTGATGATGTTAGCTGGTATTGATGATGTTAGCTGGTATTGATGATGTTAGCTGGTATTGACGATGTTAGCTGGTATTGATGATGTTAGCTGGTATTGATGATGTTAGCTGGTATTGATGATGTTAGCTGGTATTGATGATGTTAGCTGGTATTGACGATGTTAGCTGGTATTGATGATGTTAGCTGGTATTGACGATGTTAGCTGGTATTGATGATGTTAGCTGGTATTGATGATGTTAGCTGGTATTGACGATGTTAGCTGGTATTGACGATGTTAGCTGGTATTGACGATGTTAGCTGGTATTGATGATGTTAGCTGGTATTGATGATGTTAGCTGGTATTGATGATGTTAGCTGGTATTGATGATGTTAGCTGGTATTGACGATGTTAGCTGGTATTGATGATGTTAGCTGGTATTGATGATGTTAGCTGGTATTGATGATGTTAGCTGGTATTGATGATGTTAGCTGGTATTGACGATGTTAGCTGGTTTTGACGATGTTAGCTGGTATTGACGATGTTAGCTGGTGTTGATGATGTTAGCTGGTATTGATGATGTTAGCTGGTATTGACGATGTTAGCTGGTATTGATGATGTTAGCTGGTATTGATGATGTTAGCTGGTATTGATGATGTTAGCTGGTATTGATGATGTTAGCTGGTATTGATGATGTTAGCTGGTATTGATGATGTTAGCTGGTATTGACGATGTTAGCTGGTATTGATGATGTTAGCTGGTATTGATGATGTTAGCTGGTATTGATGATGTTAGCTGGTATTGATGATGTTAGCTGGTATTGATGATGTTAGCTGGTATTGACGATGTTAGCTGGTATTGATGATGTTAGCTGGTATTGATGATGTTAGCTGGTATTGATGATGTTAGCTGGTATTGATGATGTTAGCTGGTATTGATGATGTTAGCTGGTATTGATGATGTTAGCTGGTATTGATGATGTTAGCTGGTATTGGTGATGTTAGCTGGTATTGATGATGTTAGCTGGTATTGATGTTAGCTGGTATTGATGATGTTAGCTGGTATTGATGATGTTAGCTGGTATTGACGATGTTAGCTGGTATTGACGATGTTAGCTGGTATTGATGATGTTAGCTGGTATTGATGATGTTAGCTGGTATTGATGATGTTAGCTGGTATTGATGATGTTAGCTGGTATTGATGATGTTAGCTGGTATTGATGATGTTAGCTGGTATTGACGATGTTAGCTGGTATTGATGATGTTAGCTGGTATTGATGATGTTAGCTGGTATTGATGATGTTAGCTGGTATTGATGATGTTAGCTGGTATTGATGATGTTAGCTGGTATTGACGATGTTAGCTGGTATTGACGATGTTAGCTGGTATTGACGATGTTAGCTGGTATTGATGATGTTAGCTGGTATTGATGATGTTAGCTGGTATTGATGATGTTAGCTGGTATTGACGATGTTAGCTGGTATTGATGATGTTAGCTGGTATTGACGATGTTAGCTGGTATTAACGATGTTAGCTGGTATTGACGATGTTAGCTGGTATTGATGATGTTAGCTGGTATTGATGATGTTAGCTGGTATTGATGATGTTAGCTGGTATTGACGATGTTAGCTGGTATTGATGATGTTAGCTGGTATTGACGATGTTAGCTGGTATTGACGATGTTAGCTGGTATTGATGATGTTAGCTGGTATTGATGATGTTAGCTGGTATTGATGATGTTAGCTGGTATTGACGATGTTAGCTGGTATTGATGATGTTAGCTGGTATTGATGATGTTAGCTGGTATTGACGATGTTAGCTGGTATTGATGATGTTAGCTGGTATTGATGATGTTAGCTGGTATTGATGATGTTAGCTGGTATTGATGATGTTAGCTGGTATTGACGATGTTAGCTGGTATTGATGATGTTAGCTGGTATTGATGATGTTAGCTGGTATTGATGATGTTAGCTGGTGTTGATGATGTTAGCTGGTATTGACGATGTTAGCTGGTATTGACGATGTTAGCTGGTGTTGATGATGTTAGCTGGTATTGACGATGTTAGCTGGTATTGACGATGTTAGCTGGTATTGATGATGTTAGCTGGTATTGACGATGTTAGCTGGTATTAACGATGTTGCTACTCGCAACTGCTTTTCCAGGTTTGCTCTCCGAGATTTATTGAATTTCGAGTCCCGTCTGCGGTTGCCTTGGCAGGGCCACACCAAATGATTTCGCGGGCCTCAGACGGACCGCGGGCCTCATACGGTCCGCGGGCTGGACGTTCCCCAAACCTATTGTAAAGGGATATTGAGTTTTCAGTTCCATACGGCGTACAGCCGTTTCAATACGGGCAAGAAAATAAATTGTCTATGTGTTTGTGTTTCTTCCTTGTAATGGGACTTTGTAGGATGGACGTTGTGATTTATAATGGCACGGGATGACCAATAAGATCTGAATTGGTAGGTCACCGATTCGGGGTTGACAGCTATGGGGGCAGCAACCGGGGCGGGTGGGGGGGGGGGGGGGGCGGGCCTGTCCTATGTTCCGTATTTGGAAAACGACTCTCAAATCCCTCACTTGGAAATAAAAACAACCATCTCCTTAGCAACATCGCCCCCCACCTCCTCCTGGTCGATGACACGCAAACCGTGCCCGCCGGTGCTGGGTCACACGTTGTGCCGCGTAGGGAGAGCTACCACTGGGGCGGGGGATCCCTTGGGCTAGACTGCAGCGGGGTGGTGCAGCGGTTGAGGTGAGGTGCGTTGCGTGGCATGTCGAGATGCTGGGCCGGCGAGCGAGCGGCGCTCCCCGTGAAAGGCCCCACGGCGGCGGCGGCGGTGGTGGTGACGGCGGTTGTGTGGTCAGGTACCGCAGCGTGCTCTCGCTGGCTGGGGTTTCCCGCCTTCTCTCGGGTTGGTTCCGCGTGGACGTGCACAACTCGGACAGCGCGGGCTCGGCGAGCGTCGCGCTCCACGTGAGCGGTGAGGACTCTCGCGCTCGCTCGCTCGCTCGCTCGCTCTCTCCCTCTCGTGCGCTCTCCGTATTGTCTCGCTCTGTGTTCTCCCCTCCCCCCGTTTCCCACGCCCTCTCTTTTCCTGCGTCCTCCGTTTGCCGCGCCCTCCGTTTTTCACGCCCTTCGTTTTCCGTGCTGTCCGTTTCCTGCACCCTCTGTTTTTCGCGGCCCTAGTTTCCTGAGCTCTCCATTTGCCATGCTTTCCGTTTCGCACGTCCTCTGTTTCCGGCGCCTTCCATTTCCCGTGTCCTTCACATCCCACGTCCTCCGTTTCCTGCACCTTCTGTGTCCGGCGCCTTCAGTCTCCCGTGTCCTTCACGTTCCAAGTCCTCTGTTTCCTGTGCCTTCTTTTTCCGGCGCCTTCCATCTCCCGTGTCCTTCACGTCCCACATCTTCCGTATCCTGCACCTTCTGTGTCCGGCGCCTTCCATTTCCCATGTCCTTCACGTCCCACATCCTCCACATCCTCCATTTCCCACGTCCTCTGTGTCCGGTGCCTTCCGTCTCCCGTGTCCTTCACATCCCAGGTCCTCCGTCTCCCACGCTCTCTCCCGCGCCACAATCTCGAGTGAACCCTGGGCCCATTTCTCTGCCGCTCCCAGGCTTCCTGCGTGCGTCTCTGCGTGCTCCTGATCCGCGTTTACCCCGCCGCCTTGCGCAGCCCCCAGCTGCCGAGACCGCTTCGCTTTCCACTTGAATGGCCGGCGCCTCGATCCTGGCCATTTAACACAACTCCTCTTCGCTCGCACGTGCTGGTCACCTGTGCCTCTCACCCGTGCCTCTCACCCTGCATTCCATTGGCTGCAGGAATTCCTCCGAGCACTGATCCCCGCGTGGCCACAGCCCACCAAGCTCTGCGCGGCGACGGTCGCGTCACCGCCCCTCGCATCAACACCCCCTCATTATCACATCATCATCACCTCGATTAGCACGGCCGCACAGCCGTCAAACCACAAGGTTTACCCCGTAATCTTGTACAGGGAAATTTAGTTTTCAGGTCCATACGGCGTGCAACCGTTTCAATACGGGCGACAAAATGTATTGTCCATTTGTGTTTTTTCCCTTGTGGGATGAACGTTGAGATTGATAAGGGGCACGGGGTGACCGATTTAGGGTCTGAGTTGGTCTGTAATAAGGTAGGGCACTGATAAGGGGTTGACAGGTTTGTGGTTGGCTAAAGAAGTTGAACACATCACCATCGTCCACCACCACCACCACCACCATCGCCACCGTCACGATGCTGCCCTGTGCACCCTTGTAAACAATCACCTCTCAACCACCCCCTCCCCCGGCCTCCTTACCCCCTCCCCCCACCCCCCGTGCCCCCCAGCTCCCCCCCAGATCGACTCCCTGTTGGCGAGCCCGGACAGCGCGCGACGCACTTGCACGGCGACTGCGCTGCCGCGAGCACGTGTCACGTGGCTCCTGTGTCCCGGCACACGCAACAGGTGTGACGCACGCACACACACACACGCACGCACGCACGCTAAAACTGAAACTAGACTTTTCGATTTAAAGCTTTCGTGACTGCAGGGATTCATCTTCTGGGTTCTTTCGGTAAAGTCACCACGTAGAATGGGAATACAATAATAATAAAAAAATAATAATAACAGAATAAAATTCTCACGACGTTTCGGCCACAACACAAGTAGCCTTCCTCAGGTGAAGAAACAGGACTGTCCGGAAGACAGCGCTTGAGTGAACACTGCCAAGCATGGACAGCGTCTTTTAAGCTGTGTGGGAGGAACAGAGCGCCTTGACAAAGGAGTTAACATATAAATTAGCATGTAACTGGGGGATTAGCACGATGTTGGTGTGAGGCATGAGCACCACGGAGAGCGACGAGCTATGTTCAGACGGACGAGGGGAGGGGGGAGAGGAGTTGACATATAAATTAGCATGTAACTGGGGGACTAGAATAATGTTGGTGTGAGGGATTAGCAGCAGTTTACATATCAACAGTAAATTAGCATGTAACTGGGGGATTAGCATGATGTTAATATGAGGGATTAACACCAAGGAGAGCGACGAGCTTTGTTCAGACGGACAAGTCCATCTATGTTCGGAACGGAGGAGGGGGGGGGGGAAGAGGAGGAAACAGCCACGGTGCGCTGCTCTGTCCTGTGTTGCGTTATAACTATGCTATAAACTGGACTACCATACAATACAATATTATACCTTCCAATCTAAACTACATTGTATAATATCGTATCCATAGACAAATCCCACCCTTGAATTATACAATGCGTTACTATACACTACCCTATACTTTAGACTATTAAATATTAGACTTGTAGTATTACACTATGTATTGTTCTATTAACCCTACTGTATACCACACTGCTGTATATTCACTATACATTTACGGTACTATATATTGCCTTATGAATTATGTTAAACATTACACTGTTATACTATTTATTATTATACAAATGCTATAAACTATAGGTACTAATAGGCAGTGCCAGCGAATGGACTGCGGTCTGAAAGTCACCGTAAAATACAATCAATCAAGAAGCCATCACTCCAACCATGAATAAGGATCCTCTTGAGCCATTCAAAACCATAACCTTACCCTACATTGCGGGGGTCACAAAAAATATCTCCAAAAACCCGAATAAACACAAGATCCAGGTCCGATTCAACACAGTACATAAAATCCATGATCTGGTTCTGTCTGTAAAAGGTGTGGTTCCAGACATACAGTACCCGGGCGTCTACAAACTAAGTTGCCTCTGTGGTAGCAGCTACATTGGAGAAACCAAACGACATATCCCGGACCGCATCCGTGAACATAAAGCAGACTTGAAACACAGTAGGACGAACACCTCAGCCGTGGCAGATCACTGTTATAATTCAGTGGGCCAAGATGACATTGACTTCTCCAAAACGGAGGTTCTCTGCAAGCCATCCGGCTACCATGAGAGATTCGTTCATGAGGCCATCCACATATAAAAACACAGAGACAATTTCAACCGAGAAGATGGATTCTGGCTTAGTAACTATTGGAAAGACGTTATAAACCATTTCGCTTCTTGATTGCTTGTATAGTAACGCATTGTATAATTCAAGGGTGGGATTTGTCTATGGATACGATATTATACAATGTAGTTTAGATTGGAAGGTATAATATTGTATTGTATGGTAGTCCAGTTTATAGCATAGTTATAACGCAACACAGGACAGAGCAGCGCACCGTGGCTGCTTCCTCCTCTTCCCCCCCTCCTCCGTTCCGAACATAGATGGACTCGTCCGTCTGAACAAAGCTCGTCGCTCTCCGTGGTGTTAATCCCTCATACTAACATCATGCTAATCCCCCAGTTACATGCTAATTTACTGTTGATATGTAAACTGCTGCTAATCCCTCACACCAACATTATGCTAGTCCCCCAGTTACATGCTAATTTATATGTCAACTCCTCTCCCCCCTCTCCTCGTCCGTCTGAACATAGCTCGTCGCTCTCCGTGGTGCTAATCCCTCACACCAACATCGTGCTAATCCCCCAGTTACATGCTAATTTATATGTTAACTCCTTTGTCAAGGCGCTCTGTTCCTCCCACACAGCTTAAAAGACGCTGTCCATGCTTGGCAGTGTTCACTCAAGCGCTGTCTTCCGGACAGTCCTGTTTCTTCACCTGAGGAAGGCTACTTGTGTTGTGGCCGAAACGTTGTGAGAATTTTATTCTGTTATTATTATTTTTATTATTTTATTCCCATTCTACGTGACTTTCCCGAAAGAACCCAGACGATGAAACTAGACTGTTACTTATTTTACCAAGTAAGGCCCCGCTGAGCTGCTACGTAGCCCTTGGTGAGAAGCGAAATAGGCCACAATTGACAGCTGAACGGAGTGGGCTTGTCGTGTGGAGACTCACGGCAGCAGACAAATAACTCTGAACGCGTAGTGAAGTTGACTCTAAATGTGGAGGGAAAAACCGGAGGACACGGAGAAAAAGTATCGTGGTCGAACCCACGACCTCCTGTAGACCAGTCGAGGTAGTTAACATCTCACCACGGAGAGAGAGAGAGACGCGCAAACTACAAATATACAGCAGGCGTCAGGGTCGTGATCGAACTCACGACCTCCTGAATACCAATGTGAGGAAGTTAACATCTCACCATCGTGGCACCCCATGAAGACAAAGATCCCCCGTATAGCCTTTAACAGACTATTAGGGCTATTTCTATGCACATTCTAGAAAGTTAAACATACACACATACTGCCCATAGCCTAACACTGCCCATTGACTAACACTACTCATAGACTCAACACTACCCATTGACTAACACTACTCATAGACTCAACACTGCCCATTGACTAACACTACCCATAGACTCAACACTACCCATAGACTCAACACTACACATAGACTAACACTTCCCATAGACTCAACACTGCCCATAGACTCAACACTGCCCATAGACTCAACACTGCCCATTGACTCAGTACTACACATAGACTCAACACTGCCCATAGACTCAACACTACCCATAGACTCAGCACTGCCCATAGACTCAACACTGCCCATAGACTCAACACTGCCCATAGACTCAACACTGCCCATAGACTCAACACTGCCCATAGACTCAGCACTGCCCATAGACTCAACGCTGCCCAGAGACTCAACACTGCCCATAGACTCAGCACTGCCCATAGACTCAACACTGCCCATAGACTCAACACTGCCCATAGACTCAGTACTACACATAGACTCAACACTGCCCATAGACTCAACACTACACATAGACTCAACACTGCCCATAGACTAAACACTACACATAGACTCAGCACTGCCCATAGACTCAACACTGCCCATAGACTCAGCGCTGCCCAGAGACTCAACACTGCCCATAGACTCAACACTGCCCATAGACTCAACACTGCCCATAGACTCAACACTGCCCATAGACTCAACACTGCCCATAGACTCAACACTGCCCATAGACTCAACACTGCCCAGAGACTCAACACTGCACCTCCGATAATTCACGGTTGGCTACGTACGGTGCGAAAGAAGTTCAACGCACGTAGCATATGACCACAATACTATGGCTCCCCCAAACCCAATACACAAACTCAACGCTCCACTCCCCCCACCCACTCCGCCCCCCCTCCCTCTCTGCCCCCCCCCCCCATCCAGTTGCAGCGGCAGTAACGACACGCGGGAACTGGAGGCCGGCAACGGAACGACGATCCGCGAACGCGAGGCCGGGGAGGCCCAGGGCGACGGGCCGCTGGGGGTCACGGTCGTCAGCGAGTTGACCTTGACCCCCGACCTTTGGGGTCACGCGGGGGTCATCGGGGGGGCGGAGGGGGCCGGGGGGCCGGAGGGACGCGCGGACGTGGGCGGCGATGGAGAGGGGACGGGGGGGGAGCCGGGGTCCGGCGGGGGGATTACGGGGGACGTGCTGGGGGTGCCGCTGGGGTCAGGGTTCACGGTGGAGTGCGTCGCCTCGAACCGCTTGGGGAGCAGCTCCAGAGTTCACTTCACCTCGCCCTACTTCCTGCGGAGTGCGACTCGCACGCTGACACGCACACACACACAACAACAACAACAACAACCGCCATTCGCCACTAAGTGGCGGTGACGTCACCACGACGCTTGTGCCAGGCTATGTGCACCCTGAGGCCACGTGAAGTGTCGAACGCCCGCTGGCAGGAGGTCACGGGGCAGACCCAGGTGCCACGGGTCGACTGACTGAGATGACTGGCTGATGCACCACCTGTGCCCCCTACTGTGCCAACCTGCTGTGCTTTAGCCACCCGGCGCTCCGCTCGCTGTTGTGAGCGTCGCTCCTCCGCCCTCCGTTGTTGTTGGAGGGCGACTGCCTCCAACTGCCCAGTAGCATCCTTCACGAGCCTCCTCCACAGAGGCCGATCTTGACACCGCTGGTACCAGTCATCGGCAAGTCCACTCAGCTCCACGTCCTCCTGTACCACATCACTCCATCTCTTCCCTAGCCCGTGCCGCGCCCGCTTAGCCCCCTCAAACCGGCCAAACAAAAGCTGTTTCGGCATGCGGTGGCTGGGCATGCGGGCTACATGACCCAGCCATCGCAGCCTTGCCTGCCGGAGGAGCTCACCGATGGGACCCTGCCCAGATCTTTCAAGGATTTGTGAGCTCCTCACACAATCCAGTCTGGTTAAACCCAGGATGGATCGTAGGCAGGTCAGCCTAAATGTTTCTAACCGGCGAAGATGTTCCATTAGGGGGGTCCACGTTTCGCAAGCGTAGAGAAGGGAGGGAATGACCGTGGCCGAGAAGACCTGAAGCTTAGTGCGGAGCGACAGACCAGGTAGCTTCCACACAGCGTTACGCAACCGATGAAAAGATATTGCCGCTCGACTGATTCGGAGTGAGACCTCTGCTGTTAAACTGGAGCCAGTCATAAGCACACTGCCCAGGTATGGGAAACTCTCCACTCTCTCCACAACTGCCCCATCACCGATTGGGAGTTGTGGGGGTGGAGTGTCCGATGGTACAAAATACCCAGGCAGGTGCTTAGTTTTGGTGGGGCTGATGGTAAGGCCCCACCTCTTAGTGGCACGCTCCAGTCTCAGCAGCAGCGTCTGCAACTCCTCCTCTGACTGAGCAGCTATTACCAAGTCATCAGCATACATAACGTGGTTGAGCAATAGGGAGCCATCCCTTGACCGCACCCGGGCATCGATTAGCCTCCCATTATATCTGTACCATATGGAGATTCCCCCGGTACAGCTATTGAAGGCTTCACGAACTACGTGGTCAAAATAGATGTTAAATAATGTGGGAGCCAGAGGACATCCCTGTCGCACCCCAAGGTGTACAGGGAATGGCTCTGACTCCCGGCCACGTAGTTTTACCCGGGCCCGCTCACCATCATGAAGGTCCTTAATGATCGTGAGCAGAGGGTCAGGTACTCCAAAAGCACGAAGAACGACCCAGAGCCCAGGCCTACTGATGGTATCATAGGCCTTGACCAGGTCAATAAAGCAGAGATGTAGGTCTTGTTGGAATTCCCTACACCTCTGCTGTAGCAGACGGACAGAAAATATGGCATCTGTGCAGGACCGCCCTTTCCTGAAACCGCATTGGGGCTCCGCAAGCCTCTCCTCAGCGTGCCTGGCAAGGCGATGCTGAATAATCCTTGCCAGGACCTTTCCCGGCACACTGAGGAGTGAGATGCCCCTGTAGTTGTTACAGTCTGTGCGGTCCCCCATCTTAAAAAGGGGGACCACCAGGGCATCCTTCCAATCCTGCGGAACCCGTCCAGTGGTCCAGACTGTTGTTATGATGTCATATAGGGCAGTCTGTGCACAAACGCCACCCTCCCTCAGCATTTCGCTTGGGAGATCATCTCTGCCCGCTGCCTTTCCTGGTCTCAGACTCCGGATCGCCTTCAATACTTCCTCAGCAGATGGCACCTCAGCCAGCCACTCACAGGGGGTGACTTCATCCAATATTTGAGGCACCGCAGCCTCAGCAGGGTCATCCTCACTTTGTGCCACGATGTTTTCCTGGCTGTGGGATTTTCCCTCCCCCAGGACCTCACAGAAATGCTCAGCAAATCTGCGAACCTGTTCCTGGGGGTCGGAAATTGGATCACCGTTTTTTCCCCTAATGATGGTAATAGGTGTGGCGCTGCAGGTTACTTTTTTGATGGAGTTAAATAGCGATTTGTGATCACGGGCCACTGAGGCAGACTCCATCTCCTCAGCAACCCGCGACCACCACCCATCCTTGCAGCGCCTCACGGCTCTCCGAACCTCCGAGCGAAGGCTGCGGTAAGCCTCCTCATTCTCTGACGTGGGATTCTGTAGCCGATGACAGTGGGCCTGTCGCTTTTTCTCAACCATCCTGAACAACTCCTCTGTCATCCAGGGTGTCTGGGGAGGTCTGGACCGCGTACCCAAAGCAGCCATTGCAGCTGCATGAGTCACAGTCCTAAACCTCGCCCATTTACCCTCGACATCAGGAGGAGTCGGGGACGATGCCAATCCCAGCCGCAAGCGATGATGAAATTCTCGCTTGCAACTTTCATCAGATAACTGAGACCAGGCCACTTTAGGTTGGAATGGGGTCCTGGGTGTACACCCACCACCGGAGTGGAAGAATGGCAGGCGCATCTTACAGATGACTAGTCGATGGTTAGAGGGCAGATCAGCTCCACGGTAGGTCCTGGTGTCAAGGACATGGGCTCGCATTCGCTGGTCCGTCACTATGTAGTCCAGCAGATGTTCTTGCTTGGACCCGGCATGCATCCATGATGTTGTGTGGATGCGCCGATGCCGGAACAGCGTGTTGGTAATTACAAGCCCATGGGCTGCACAAAAATCTAGCAGCCTCCTACCATTGTTATTGAGCTGATCTGGCCCATGCCCTCCAATCACTCCAGACCAGGTGCCAGTATCATGACCAACTCGGGCATTGAAGTCACCCAACATGATGACTCTATCCCGAGGGGCCACTTTAGCCAGCACCTGTGACAGGAGGTCATAGAAGGCATCTGACTCATCGGCTTTGCCTGCATCCCTCCACGGATGTTCATCTTCGGTGGGGGCATAAGTAACCACGACCACCATTCCTCGCCTCCGGTTGATGGGAAGGCGAGCCCAAAGTAGCCTGGGGCTTACAGCTTCCCACACCTCACCGCCACGCTCCCACGCCCCCTTCATTCTTTTGTTCAAAAGAAGACCCACACCCTGTTGTTTGGCAGTCTGCTGCCCCGAGTAGAGGACTGTCCACCCCTCATGGTGGCAGGAGCCAGAGCCGGTCCACCGGACCTCCTGAATGCCGCATAGATCCAGGCGGTACCGGTCCAGCTCCCGACAGAGGAGTGGCAGCCTCTCCTCTGCAGTGAGCGTTCGAACATTCCACGTGGCCACCCGTAGTGGCTTTTCGTTGTTTCTGGAGTAGCCCCGAGGGTAGGTATTCAATCTCCTGGCTCCGCCAATTGGGGTTTGGCCAGGAGACGTCATAGACGCCTGGCCCCCCGGGGCCTCCGGCACAAGCTTAGTTGTTACATATTTCACTTTAATTCGTGGTTTTGTGGTAATTAATTGAAGGTGGAGGGGTTACCAGCCCCTCGCACCCGTCCAGAGCCCCCGTTTAGCCCCTGTGGTGGACACATATGCCATGAGGGGAGGAGCCAATCAAAATTGGAACTCCCCCCACAGCACTGTCCACGACAGAGTTGCCCGTCCGGCACCGCGAGGAGGTAGGGGGTTGTTTTGCCGGACACACACACAGTCACACACACACACAGTCACACACACACAGTCACACACACACACAGTCACACACACACAGTCACACACACACACAGTCACACACACACAGTCACACAGTCACACAGTAACACACACACAGTCACACACACACAGTCACACACACAGTCACACACACACAGTCACACACACACACAGTCACACACACACAGTCACACACACACACAGTCACACACACACAGTCACACAGTCACACAGTAACACACACACAGTCACACACACACACAGTCACACACACACAGTCACACACACACACAGTCACACACACACAGTAACACACACACAGTCACACACACACAGTCACACACACACAGTCACACACACACAGTCACACACACACAGTCACACACACACAGTCACACACACAGTCACACAGTCACAGTCACACACACACAGTCACACACACAGTCACACACAGCACGCAGTCACACACACACAGTCACACACACACAGTCACACACACATAGTCACACACACACACAGTCACACAGTCACAGTCACACACACACAGTCACACACACACAGTCACACACACACAGTCACACACAGTCACACACAGCACACAGTCACACACACACAGTCACACACACGCAGTCACACACACACACAGTCACACACACACAGTCACACACACACAGTCACACACACACAGTCACACACACACAGTCACACAGCACGCAGTCACACACACACAGTCACACACACACAGTCACACACACACAGTCAACAACAACAACAACAACAACCGCCATTCGCCACTAAGTGGCGGTGACGTCACCACGACGCTTGTGCCAGGCCATGTGCACCGTGAGGCCACGTGAAGTGTCGAACGCCCGCTGGCAGGAGGTCACTGGGCAGACCCAGGTGCCACGGGTCGACTGACTGAGATGACTGGCTGATGCACCACCTGTGCCCCCTACTGTGCCAACCTGCTGTGCTTTAGCCACCCGGCGCTCCGCTCGTTGTTGTGAGCATCGCTCCTCCGCCCTCCATTGTTGTTGGAGGGCGACTGCCTCCAACTGCCCAGTAGCATCCTTCACGAGCCTCCTCCACAGAGGCCGATCTTGACACCGCTGGTACCAGTCATCGGCAAGTCCACTCAGCTCCACGTCCTCCTGTACCACATCACTCCTTCTCTTCTCTAGCCCGTGCCGCGCCCGCTTAGCCCCCTCAATCCGGCCAAACAAAAGCTGTTTCGGCATGCGGTGGCTGGGCATGCGGGCTACATGACCCAGCCATCGCAG